CCTTTTGTTTTCTTTTTTACTTTTTTTTAGGTAATGTTTTTGAGTGTAACTAATTTGTTAAAGTTTTGGGAGTTTACTTCTATTCAAATTTTTGATAGTAATTTGGGATGTTGAATTCGAGCAGGTAATAATTCTTAAATAAGAAATTTTGGGTTATCCCACTGTAACTCCTTTTTGCAAGAAAAAAAAAAGATTTTTGATTATTGAATTAATATATGTCTATCATGAGGAGAACACCCGTATATTACATGATATTTTACTGTTTCAACTATTTTTCATAATCTTTTGTTTCCATTTTCTTAGTATGCAACGTATTTTTATCAATCTATCTAGCTGTATGAGTGATAAGATAACCTTCTAACTTGAGATGATTTGTTTGAAAGTAAACTGAAGAAAGTTTCATTTTATGTGAAATACATAAATTTATTGATGAAAAATAATATAATGCAAAATTTTCTTCCACATAGATCTAATACCCAATTTTCGAAATATTTTGATTATTTGGATAATTTTTCAATCATATTATTTCAATATCCAAATTTTCATCTAATAAGCAAATAATTTAAGTCAAAAAATTAACTAATGAAAGAAGAAATTAAAATATGTTGCAAGAATCGGTTTCAAATAAAAAATCTTTTAGATTAAATTAAATTTGTGCACTTTAAAGCAGAATTCTAGATTTTGATTGATCGAGTGATGCTAAAATAACTGACGATCGAACCTCATTTATTCCTATTTTTCATTTCATGTATTACTTAGTGTTTCTTATCATACTAAATTTATTTCATAAATTCTCTTTTAAATGTATTGATTTAAAAATAATGCTTATTAATTATTTATCACTTTTCCGTTTCCCTTTATAGTAAAACCGTATTGTATGGATATGGACAAAATATGTGACAAGTTAAAAAAAAGCCTTGAACTTTATAATTATTATATCATTTCATTGTCAAGTTTTCTCCATTACTCCGAAGTGAAGTACATTCTTTAATAATCAACCTATTATTTATGATAATTGTTCCACTAAAATGTTAGTATTGAATTGCTATGGTATATGAGATTCTTTAAAACAAGCTTGTTGCAATTGTCGCAATATTTAATTCTTTCTTTCATCTACTGATTAAGCTGTCGGTAATCCGAAGTCTTTAATTCGTTAAAAAAATTTATCAGAAAAATGACTGAAAATCATTTATAATCAAAAATTGCTGATTGCTGTTGATAAATTTCAGGCTATCGAGAACCTCTATATTTGGAGTGTATATGAATTTTATGAAAGGAATAGATGATCTGCAGCAGTTGTTGCATTTGATGTTTCATTTCGTTTCAGAAATTTGGACTTTATCATATGCATCAGAAATATCAATCATACAGTCTAATCAACAGGTGAATTAAATGAAATGATTTGATTATTGTTGCCATTGCTTTATTTCAGGTGTCTCTTCACCTTTTGCAATTATCATAGGACGAGATGGGCTCCCGTAATTCAGATTGCTCCATTGATCAAAAATACTTTTTGCATAATTTCGCAACTTTAATTTACATTTCCGTATTTTATATTTTTCCAAATTAACCTAATTACAAATTATGCATTCAAAATTCTTCAAATACTTCTATTGGAACTTTTTTGGTAAAATTTGGCTTTTTTCTTTTCACTTGAAAACATATTTCAGGAATTATGTGGTATTGCCAGTATATATTTTGCATAATAGCCCATTTCGTTGCTGCTACTGAAAAAATTCCATGTGGTCAAAATTTAATTGTATTTATCATAGATGGATATGGGAAAGCATTATTGAATCAATCCGATATTGGTTTTCGATTGCTAACTCAAAATGGCGTATACAGCGACTTTTTAAAACCTGTTTATCCAACTCATAATTATCCGAATTGGATGAGTCTTGTAACAGGTTGCTTGTTCTGTCCGTTTCTAGTCATTATTATTAAACCTTCTAAATTTAAATGCATAACAAATAAAATTTAGGCGACATTTGAAGCTAAGAGAAAATCAGGCTATAGAAAGTCCAGTGAAAATTTTTCCCATGCTACTGAAATTTAGCGAATTTCAATTTTACTTTAGAGTGTGAATTAAAAGCTATGATTCATTCATTAGTGCTTTAGGTTTATATGCAGAAAATCATGGCTTTGGCGCTAATTACATGTGGGATAGGGTTAAAAATCGAAGATTTTGGAAGGGTGAAACAAATCGTGTTGGTGATAGTTGGTGGCCTGATGGAGTAGTACCAGCTTGGTATACTACAGGCAAATCAAACGTTGATGTGCACTGCTACTGGATGCCAGGATGTGATGTAAGTTCAAATTAATTTTTGGAAAAAAAAAAGCAAAAATTTAGTTAGTGTTAGATTAGTTAATGTTATTGTGCCAAATTTTAAAATAAAGAATTAAAAAATGATCTATTAAAACTTATATCACATATAAACCATAATTGCCTTTTTATATCTAGACTTACCGTAATTAGCTAATTCTGCACAAGACAATATAATATCTAAAGTAGATAAAACTAGGAGTTCAGATGAGAAATGATCAATAATTTGAAATAAAGATATTTTGTCAGTACTAATAAAGTAAAAGCTAGTAACTCGTTTGTTTTCTTCGTATGGTTTTTTTTTTCCCTTTTTTCCTTTTTTTTTTTTTCCTCATTCTTCTTTTTGTCTTGTTGTCCTAAATGTAAATTTTTTAAATTTAGATGTTTTAAACAAGTAATATTTGCAGCTCCCATATCAAGATATAATTGTACAGGTACCACAGGAGCGTAAGTACAATGCTTCATTACCAGAGCAAACTGATGCACTGATGAGTTATTTTCCAGAAATAATCGAACGAATTACCAAATACCAACCTTATAGGCAACAAGTAATTTTAATACAGTAATTAGTTAGAATCATTTATGGTTAAATAAAATTTAATAGTATTAAAATGATTTCAAGTATTTTAGTTTTTTCTTATTCGATATGCTGGTGTACAGGCAGCATTAGAGACATTTGGATTACGTAGCGACGAATTAAAACAAGCTCTTATTAATGTCGATTTAAGTCTTCTTCTGTTACAAGTTATTCTTTTTTTATTTTTTTGATTTCCAAGACATTTCCAAAAAATGTATTTTTAAAAAAACTGTTGCTTTCGTATTTTTGAAAATTTTATACGATAACATCTGAATTATCAATCAGAAGACATTTATCAGTAATTAAAATATCCGTTCACATTATAGCAAAAGCTTGATGCTGAGAAACTTTTCGAATCTACAAATTTGATGGTAATTTCAACACATGGTCTGTATACAGTAGAACAAGAAGAGCAATTTTTCATCGAAGAATGTCTAACAGATTATTCAAAAATTCAAAAAGTGGTTAATCATCATGCAATGATGATGATTTTTACAAATCCCGATGAGGCTAATGAGGTATGGAAAGGGTTTTTATTGTAGTGAACATACCAAGTTTCATACAAATGAATCAAAATGCTATTTTAATCAAGAAAAATACCGGATCATGAAATTTTTCTAGTTAAATCGTGATCTGTTCATACACAAAATGTGCATAATCATATTTACATATTTCACAACAGCCTGCAATGCCTGCTACACTATCTTACAGGCTATTACTTTATTGAAGCTTATCATATAAATAGTTCTTGTAAGCTGTTCTGTTTTTGAATCTGGTTATTATCTGGATAGAACCAGTGTTGCAACGATCATTTTTAAATAGATTTGTTTTTTAAGGTATTTTTTGAATTGAAATTGTGCGATCAGTGGGCACCGATGGGTGATTATGATGAAAATGAACAACCACTTGTATCAGTCTATCAAACAACTGAGTTACCGGATCGTTTCCATTGGAAAAATTTTCAGTATATGCCAGAAATTGTACTGATAACTCGTCCAGGTGCAACTGTCTTAACGGTATATTATCATTACATTCCGGTTGTTTACAGCATTCCGAATACTGCATAAATTTCGTTAACAATATCTTTTTCAGACTGATATTCATTTAAAGCTGATTTTTTCCCGTTTCTGCCATAAAAGAAAAAGAAATACTAAAATGTGATATATATATATTTTTTCATTTTCGTATCAAAATAATTCTTTTACTATTTATTATTAACAACTAGCTTATCTTTATTAACAAATAAGTTTATCAAAAATAATTTGAAGAAAAAAAAAATCGCTATGAATAAACTACACTTAACTGAAGCATTCTTTTTTTACAGCGTGAATTGCCCTCTCTACCACCACATGATGAACAAGAAAGAGATATTTTATTAACTGGTGGTTGGGATAATGAAAATCTCAATATGCATGGTATTTTTTTTGCTCGAGGACCAGGTAAATTTTTGAGATAAAAAACAAAAACAGTATTTAATAAATGATGTGTACAAGTCGATAAGTAATATGTATAATTTTTAAGTGATTTTTATTACTACAAATATGAAATTTGTTTGAATTTTTTAGTATTATTTCTTTTAGCTTTCAAAGAAGATTACGAAGCTTCAGATATCAATGTAGTTGACATCTATCAGGTAAAATGCATTCCTGTATTTACTATTTGAAGCTTTTTTTTTTTTTTTTCGTAAATTTATATCTTTTTAGATTTCTAGTCAACTGAGCATTTGGTTAGTAATTGATAAATTAAGAAACAAGCAGAATGTGTTTCATGACCCATTAAGTAGTGCTATTTTCTTATATTAAACTCAAATATGCGGCATTAGTTTTCACTAGATTTACAACATTTTTTTGGCAGGTAATGATGAATATATTTGGAATTGAGCCGCCACATCGACATAATGGTACATGGTCCAACGTAGAAGATTTTCTAAGTAGTGGTTGGGAAACTCGATCAGTACCCGAGAATATGAGGGCATTTACTGTAACCAGTTGCCAAATATCGTTAATGTGCTTCACTATACTGATCTCATCCTTTATGATATATGATCAGTTTCTACGATCACTGATAATATGACAGCAGAACTTGGATTATTTCAGCTCAATGCATTCCTGGTAATACTTATATCACTGTTTATGTTACTTTTTCTCCATTTTACTATGTACGAATTGAAAAGTGTGATAATTCTACCCTTTATTCATTACGCTTGAAATAGTCTCTGTAATTTACCCATCATATTCCATTCATTTAGGTCAAGGTTAACCTCCCATCTGTTTCCCGACTTCTCTAAAATACATTCCGAATTATCTCAACTTATCGCTGGAAGTATGCAATGCAGTATGCTTTGAAGAGTGCCATGCATTTCTAATCGTTAGCACACGTTTTGATGTGTGATGAACTTCAAACCATTAGTTCTTATCTTACCTCCCTTTATAGTTACTTCCATTTCTTACATTAGCAAACAATTCACTCTATTTTTCTCATGACATTAAAAGTAGAAAGGTCTAGTGTAACTCTCAACACTTCAACACTGTTTATTTCATTGAAGCACATATGATTCCTACAAGCCTTCGAACAAATCTAAAACTCCGCTAAGCGGAAACATTACAACGCATTTCTTATGTAATTTTAAAAATTATTTGTAGATCTTTATTTTTCCGAATTTAACTAATTTGATGGTGCAGGAGACTTAAGGTGGTTCAAGGGAACATTACTCAGAAGTTTGCAAAATCAGCAGTCTGATCCCCCTTCCAGTCACAATTCATACAACATTTGCGTGGGTCCCCTTGTCACAATAAGTGGTAATTTGGCATAAATGGCATCTTATTTACTATACAACGGCATTTGTGCCGAATATGAATTTTACAATTTGTAAACAAGATTAATCACCTCGTAAAAACTTCCAGCTCTCCAACTGATATGTTACAAATGATCGGCAATCTGATTATTGCAATGTGTCACAACACCTGCCTTGTGATTATAGAACTTTGAATAATTTGATGAAAAACTATAAAAAGTTTGGTTTCCTCTTATCTGTTTGGTGAGCTAGAAGGAGATGATAAATCCAACCGTGAGTTAGCCTGCAAATAAGCAATAAGAAAAAGTTTTCAAGTGTTTTTAACAAATTTTATGAACGCCTATGAACAATGCTTTAACTAAACATATGAAGACATATAACTTTACCATTTCACACTTACCATCTGGACACAAAAATAGCAATTTGAAAACTTAAATGAATGAAAGGAACTATCACTTGTGAAGAACAACTCGGCAAAATTAAACCCTACACAGAAACATAACTTATGGCAGTTTCTGAATAAAATATGTAGCATGAGGAAATTAACTTTATAAGAAAACAAAACATAACAATTTACAGAAAGAAAAATACATAAATTGCACAACCTAGGAATAAAAAAATTGAGAGTAAAGAAGAGTAAAACAAGATGAGAGAAAATTCAAATTAAACTAAATTATCTCGCACAATCAAACAAAACTAACAGATGGATTAATAGGACCTAAAACAACAAAAGAAAACCAACCGATTGCAGTTACTATCGAAATACAAAACGAAAAAATAGTGAATGTAAGCTTCTCAAGTGTATGCTGAACAAATAGTTAAAGATCGATTTCAGCATATCTTTTGAAGTTAGACAAGTATCGAAACATAATTTAAGTGTGGCAGAAACATCATAAATCTGACATGGATAACAATGAATACGACGAAGAAAAACAATGTGCAAGAGAAGCTGGGACTAATAAAAAGCTAAAAAAATAGTGTAAAGATGTGTTCCAACACAGTATCTTCAGTAAAAGTCCTAATAACGGCTGAAGATAAATTTCCATGGGAATATTCATAGCTGCAAGCCTTCTGAGAGATGGAATCAGCTTATCCAGAAGTAGGTGTCAGCAAACTGTGAAACGCGATTTTATAATAAGGATGGACTTTGGTTCTGCGTTTCTTGTGCATATCATTTAAACTTGCTTTAGAAACATCATTATATTGAACTTGATCTGCAGGTTTTTCCGCTTTGTTGTAACTCATGTCATTATCCAAACCTGTTTCAGAAACGCCATCATAACCACCATCATCATCATAGCAACTATTTCCATCAAAAACAGTTGAAAGAACATCATGACTTTCCGACAGACATGATTTGGAACAATTAATGACCTCTTCCAAATTATTGGATCCAGAAGATGAGCGTCTCGCAATAACTTCTGCAACACTGCGATGCAAAGAAAAATTGCGGCTATTGTAGTAATTAGAAGCTGTTCGAATTTCCATATCGTCATCAGAGCACTGCTCATTTCTGATATCCTCAATATCACCAATGCAATTAATGGAATCTTGTGATAAAGGCATCAAATGAGATCCATCAATAAAGCTCATAGTCGTCGCAACAGCGGCAAGAATTTGCAAACCGTTTTGCGATGTTTGCGGTTTTTCACAGCTCAGCTGTTTCGACGTTCGGTTATTCAACTTACCAGAACGATTACGATGTGTGGACCCATTATTCTTTGCTGATTTTCTTTGTCTTACAGTCTGGCATCCGCGAGATTTACCAGTCGGAATCAAATTGTTCGAGGTATTCAAATCCCTTTCCTGGGAATGCTTTGTAGCCTCAGAACTATCTGCCTTCGTACTATTCACAACCATATACGGTGTAGTGTTCATCCAAGCTTGCACATTGGATACAGTCGAGTATGACGATGAAGATAAAGATGTAGATGATGGTGTTCTTATAGAACGTCTAACTCTTTGCTGATTTCCGGGAACATCGCGGCCATTATTCACTTTTCTAGTCCTTTTTTTCGAACAATTTATAGAACTTTCCGCTTCAATTCCTTAAAAAAAAAAAAAAAGGAAAAATTCGAAATTATTTTCCAAACAAATTTGTAAATCATCTGCTTTCAGATTTTTCATTAAAGAAATTACTTCTGGTATTAGCACTAAATGAAAAAAAAAAAGAACTACATACTTCCAGTTGAGAAACGATGAGGTATATGCCGTAAAGCAGCAACGGTATGTCGGCGAAGCGTCATCGTCGTGTTCAGTTGATTTGATTGTGACATAAAACGACAAAGCCTCGAATCGGTTACACGAAATTTATAACTGTTACCGGACTCTTTTGATTCAGCACAATTTTTTTCCAACGAAGCGGCAGCTGTTACCACCAAACTTGTGAAAAAACCTTTGCAAGATCTGCAAATGAAGTTAATTACCCACAAGTCTAAAACTCCCCGAAAAAAAAAAAATCACAAACCTTGATTAAGCGATTGTTCTCCGGACATAAATAGGTCTACACAGTAAGAAACGAAGATGACAAAAATCGTATCAGGATTGCATACGGTATACAAACACTCACGGGCCACCATGTATAGACGGAGTGAGACCTAAAATGGTGGGAGAAAGAAAAACATAGAACGGTACTAAGGCGTAAACGCAAATCGCGGAAAAATGGTAAACATACCGTTCACAAGTCAAACATTCACAACGACAATTGTTATCGCCAAAAAAATTGTCACCATAATATGCTGTAATTTCGTCCCCTATTGCAATGTCACGTAATACCTGAAATTCAATACAGCCCATAATTTTTGTTACTTGTAATATTGGAGTTAAAATGGATTACTTCTGACATAATTCATCAATTGAATAACTGGATGATACCTGTACAACAGCGGCATAGCTATTTGGGACAAATTTACAGTTGGGATAACAGTCGTGATTAATATAAGCAGCAGGACCAAGCCACAGCTGAGCTCGTTGCTTCCTGGAATTATTATGCAGAATGAAGTTATGAGCCCAACGTGATTGACAATGTGATGTATTCCATACCTTGTACTATACATGACAGAAAAATCATTGATATCTTTTCTCAGCAATTGAGATTCTTCGTTGTGACTGAGATCACCAATAACACCCACTAAACTGCCAATGACATCACCTTTTTGCCTGAAATGCCGAAAGTTAATAATTAGCTTTATCGTGAAAACATGAAGGAATTTAAAAAATCTCAAGAAAAAAAAAACTAAATGTACCATGATTTCGTAGCAACTAGCATTCCACCAAGGCGATTTTCCGTTTTGTAACGATAACACGCTTGGACTGTAAAGCCTGAGTCGTTGGAAAACATTCGCATAAACCTCAAAAGCTGAAATGACATAAAATGGAATGGGGGATAGTACCTTGCATAATGATAGGTGAAATGTAGCAACCAAAACTTACGTGATCTCGGAAAGCAAGCTGCTGCTTTAGCGTCCGTCGTTTCAGAAATCTCGTTATTGCACTCACATGGAAAATTTCTTGAATCGCTGCGCACAAATCCTGATCCTCCTTATATTTCCTCAATATGCACTTCAGCTTAATTTGTTCCTCGTGTTGCGGTGGACGATAACTATAAATAATACCAGTAAGTACGAAAATGTACGATAATACAATTAAGTGATTAGTTCATAATGCATTTTTGATTAGATAACTGGTAGAATAAGAGAGTCTGGAGAGAGTATACATCGATGTGCTTTTTTTTAGTAGGCTTATATTTCCTCATAATTAGCACGAAATTTGTACCACTGTGGTCAGTAATAATAACCTAAAACTTTGATCAAGCAATCTCGATAATCTGATTTAGCATTCTACTAATTATCGGATGCTGATAACATCCACTGATTAATTACACTTACTGAAGATTCATTTTATGTGTGCGAAAACCGAGAATCGGATCGACGATAATGCTTGTTGCCATATCATCATTGTCACAAAGTTCTCGTATTGTCATACTGTGCTGTCCCGATGATCGATCCGGCAACCGGAATAATTCCGGACTCAAACTCATGCCGTACACAAAGCACCCAATCACAACAACTACACACACAGTCAGCGGAAAAGTGAAAGAGATACTAAATCGAAGCTTTTCTAAAAACTTAATACTAAGCAGCTCTCTCAAACCGACGTTGAAAGATGTTTCGCCATCTTAGCAGCTGTATATCACTGTTGAGTAATTAAACTTATTGGTGGGATTAGTTTTTATTTTTCTTTTATTCATTAATTAGTTTAATGATTATCGTTTAACGAAGAGCTCACATATCAAATTTTTGAACAGAATCCAAAAAAGTAATGAAAGATTGAATAAATGAATGCACAGAATGCATTATATTGCTATATCTAGAAAGGATACCGTCCTGTAATGTAACAATTCTATATGAAATCATTATTATGTTTATTAAATACATTTGTTATTAATTACGGCCATTAACCACTATATCAAATGTTAACCTGTAATAAAAAAAGAAACTATCAATGAAATTATAACTTAAAAAAGACAAAAGCACAAATATTTAATGAATATATCTCGTTCTAATAATGCGCCGACGTGACGTTCCTCTCATTCCTTCAACGAACACTAATACACTAATAAGATATCGGTCATATGAACATTTAGTCTTTAAAAAAGCCTTTCTTTAGACAAATTTTTTTCAAGATAAGAACTGTAAATAATTTGTGATAAATATGATAAATATCATTTTAGCAATCATTAAAAATATCGCAGTGGAACATGATAAGATAATTCACTTGGTTATTGATTGTTCTGAATGTTTATTTATGCTTGCCGATGGATTTATTCATGCATACTTGCTGTTGTATCTGTTCCATTTACCTGTTATTCTGTTACTTGTCAACTCACTAATTGAAAAAAAAAAAAAAGACGACAAACTTTTATTTTGCATATCACTTTCATGATTAAATCAATATTCATATATTGCAAGGGATGTAATCATTAAGATTCCTTGGCATAACACTTCTCTTCAAATCTT